TAATATTTCATATTTATTGCTGATCTGACAAAGTTCATGCACTCTTTCTCTTCCAGTTTGTGCAACAGGTTGTTAACAAGGTGGAAAGGATGATGCTGTTTCCAGATCAGGACCATGTTTCATCCCATGATATTCTACGGTGGCAAGTCCTACAACACCTACCAGGTGTTAAAATTTGATAAAGACATCAAATTAACAATAAATAATTATATTTATATATGTACTGTTTGATTATAAGAAACACATGAGGATGAAGGTGATGGAATCTCCAAAGCCTCACTACACATTGTTAGTGGTACACAGAACCAATTGCTGATTTGGGAAAACAACAATGTTACTGAAAAGGAAAATTCTCCTTCTTGGTGTTGCATGAAAATACATAACCCTTTCTGTTAACCAATAAACATGCATTTAGAACTGAAGAGAGTTTTGTGTACATGTTCTTGTTGTCTCTGTATTATTTTCATTCCATCTCTACTTTCCCACCCGAATTTTAGCTATTTTTATGCATCTATTCCTTTGCCAACTGTAATAGTTTTGTTGCTTTTCTTTGGTATGACAGGCATTCTTGATAGTCATGGTACACCCTATATAGCATTTGCACTTTCAGTTAAACTTCCTTCAATATGCATGACCAGATTTCCACACAGTAATCCAAATAACTTAAGTATTTCCATTATTAGCAACACTTTATGTATTCTTCAGTAGCATTTCCTTTTCTTTGTCAACAGATTTCTTTCTTCTACTGTTCTTTCTCTGTGCTTACAAGGTACTGGGCTTCTTTCACTTTCACATTAAATTTCTTCAAACACAAGACCTGTCAATTCACATATATACTGTTAAACATCCTATTTGTGTTGCTTCTTAGGGTTATCCAAATACTTCTGTAGAATAGCCCAACGTGACCCACATGATATTGTTCCCTTTGGTGACACTTTGAATGGTCTAATGATAATTTAACTAAAGTACTCTTGCTGTTACACTCTTTTATCCCAAGGCAAATCTTTAAAGAATTCCAGGGGTAAATGTGTTGCATACAACAACTAGAAGTTCTTTTCTTCTTCAAATCCCTGTAACTATTTATTTCCCATGTAACACCAGATAAACTGCTTTGTTGAAACTGTGGTAAAATAAATCTGACATGTGTCTTTCTTTTATCTAGAAAACCACATATCACTTTTATTAGTTGTTCTAGCAGCTCCCTACCTGTAGGATCACATTTAAGAAAATGAATATTGCCTGTGTTCCTTATTGATGGATAGTGACTACTGTATCCTATTCCTCTGGGAAATCTGAAGTTAACAAACCAGGTGACCTTTGTGCTTGAACAGGAAGATATTCCATTAAGGCCTTATGGGTGAAACAGTACTGCAACTTAAAAATGTAATAATGTAACATGATTATACAAAAGAACCTTGTGAAATGGACTAAGTTTAAAAAAACATACTTCAGATACTTATTTTTCTGAATTTCCAAGAAATTCAGCAGGATTTTATGGCTTCAATAATTAAAGATTTTTCAGATTAGATTATGATGCACATGTTGACACAAACCTTTTCAATTTTTAGGAAAGATTTTGATATAAAATTTTCAGTTTAAATTTAAAAATGTTGAATGCATTTCATAATTATTTAATTCAGTGCAGAAGAAAGGAAACATAGGGAATAACCAGGAAAAAAACTCCTCAGGACTTCCATATCAAAATAGTTTCTCCCTTGCTGAATGATAAATTCAACATCTTGTTGCTCATTGAGATATCCCTTTCCAATATCCTGAGGAATGCAGCATATGTCAGTTGTGTGGAACAGCAATGTAGTAAGAATAGCACCAGGAAGTTGAAAGATCTGGTTCTTACATATGTTTTCAAGTATCAGTTCTTGGAAAATGGAATATTTTTTGAAGACGGTTATTCAGATTAAAAAAAAATAAATCAATAATATATTTCTATTTGTTTCAGTGACACCACTGCTTTTCAGTTTTCAGTGATGTCCATTCTACTTTTCTGGGACACAGATAACATTTCTTTTAATTTTAAATGTGATATAAGTAATGCAAAATTCAATTGAGTATCCTAAAACTGGGAAGCATTAGATATATGTTCAGTTGTGCAAAAGAAATATACCCGGAATATATATACATAATTATATGCAGATCTTCATGATTTTAGATCAATATTTGAGGGGTTATTTGTTTAGATCTTGTTTCTGCTGGTTTGCTTCATGGCTTATGGACTATTGAAACCAGATTCTTTTAGAATAACAGGGTTATTAAAGCAGCTTTGTCCATTTGATCAACTCTGGAACATTTCAATGCCAGTTTGACTTAATAAGACAAAGCAATGACAATTAAGCTTCATTGGTTTTCAAATGATTTCACAACACAAAACTAACTCGTAGTGCCATGGATGAGAGGTGGATCATCCGAGAGATCATCACTGATTCATACCATGAATTAAATAATAAAATATTAATAATGAATGCATCCAATAAAGCCTATTTAATTGGAGTCATTATGCTAATAGAACATAACTGCAATATGACAAACTCACAAAATGAACTAAGACCTTTAAAGCCAGTAGTTTTAATTAATTTGAGATAAATTTAAAAAAAGCAACCTGTATATTGTTATAATGATGGAATTATGGATACTCTGTCAGGTCTCCTGTTGTTGCTACAGAAAGGTACACAATTTCCTAATGTAAGATAGTTGTTTAAAGGCTAAATTAAGCTTCTTGTTTGATTTTTATTATATTCAGTGATTTACAGTCAGTGGGAAGAGTCTGACAATCCCAGAAATCAATTCAGCCCATTAATATCAGGCCTGTATCTTAGGTGTGATAAGCAAAATCTAGTAAAAAGGATTTCTAAGAGATTTTTACAACTGTATAATCAAAACTGAGTGATTTTCAGCTGGAAGAAATGGGGTGGGCAAAATTCAGTGGGTTCCTGAATTATTCAATAGCACAGTCTATCATGAAACACAATACCCTTAATAAGTCCTTTTTTTATCCCTATATACTTTTTATCCAAACTTTTATTAATTTTTTTTAATGTTTCATTCTATTCCACAACTGCAGCTGTTTCACATCCTCTCTTCCTTTTTTTTCAGTAGCAATAAAGTGTGAGGAAAACAATATTCCAAAATTTTTATTCCATTGCTCCCACTATTTTCCAGGGATTCTTTACTGACTGCCCCCTATTATGTTCAGTTTTCTATAGTGGGACACACCTTTCCTGCTTAAATATCAAAACCTTGGAAGTCAAGCTCTGAGACAGAGTCCTTAGGTTTCCTGTATAGTTACTTGAGAAAAATGGGCACTTACAGAGCACAATTCATACTGTCTGAACATAGATGTCTAAAATAGGTAAGACAAACAATATCCTAAAAGTTTCTATTTCTTTCATTGACCATAGAGGAAGCTTAGTATGATTGGAACAGTAGTAGATGTCTAAAGAAAAATATCTGAAGTTAGGTGTGATGAATTCTTCCCCACCTATAAATTATTTCAGTTCATACCATAATTTTTTAGCTAAAAGTAAGTACTTTAAAAGTTGTAAGTAACAAGGAATACATAATATCATGTTACTATAAAATGAGTTTTAATAAGTGCCACATTAAAACCTAAAAAGTGAAAGTTATAAAAGAGAAATTTAGAATATGAACATGATTAGAATTATAGGTTTGAGGTAGTCTGTTTTGACAAGAACAAAATTTCTGTTTACTTGTCTTAGTTTTGATTTGGTTCCTCGCTAAGTCCCCAAGACCCAGTGAAAAGCCTCCCTTTCCCCCTGCCCCTTCTCCTGCAAAATGGAGGAAATTATATCAAAATTTATTGCTAACAGAATAAAAACTATAAAGTAATATATACAACAATCCTAACTGATTCTCCTATGATAATAAAATCATGTATTTACAAAAATCACCCCTCCTCCCACATAAAGTCCAGGAGGAGAAGAAGTCTCTCCTTTACTCTCAAGATTACAGCTCCGATTTGCCGTAGCTGGAAAATCTCTCTCTCTCTTCTATAGGGTGCAGGATCTTAGTACCCTGCCTCTAGCCATCTTCCAGCTCCACGGAGGGGGGAGCTGGTCAAACCATGACATTACTTGTGGGTGAGTGTTGTCACCTTCAGACAAATAAGGTTTCATGGGTAAATGTCATGGCTTAGGAATGGTACTCCCCAATTAAGTGTCCCCACTGAAACTCCAAACCATGCTGCTGCTCACTTGCTTCCCACAGTCCCCTATGTCTCCCCCCTGTGAGTGGCTGGAAAGGAGAATTGGAGGCACAAATGGCGAAGATCACAGCTTGATATAAGAACAATTTATGGAAAGACCAATGAAATAAGACAAGGAACAGTGACAGCTACAATACCAACGGCAGAAGGTACAAGAAAAGAAATGTTACTGCTCACTGTGGAAACCTCCAACAATAGACAACACCCAACCACAGCCACTCTACCCCCAACCACTCCCTCCGGCTCAGGACCAGTGCTATGCTACCACAACTGGAAAGAACCCCTTCTCCCCAGAAATTAGTCCCTTTTCCCCACCCCGGCAAAGAGTGAGGTGGTATAGAATAACCTCTGGGTCCTGGCCACGATGTCTCCTGGCTACTGCAAAAATTAACCCTTTTGTGGTTGGAATTAGGACAATTAGATAAACTCGGTTAACTGGAATTGGCATATACAACACATAAAAGTCAGATGAGTCAACTACAATTTGTCCTGAATTGTTTTATACTATACAAACTGAAATTTCTATATTCTTAAGCATTGATAAGAATATTACACAAAACCAATATAGAATATGCATAAAATAATACTTATTTCAAATCAACATACGAGCCATGAGATATAGGAGGGTGTGCCCAAATGTGACTACATTTATTTCAAAAGACACCCTGAATTTCAGTATGCTAAAAGTTAGTTACTACTGTGTATCACAGTTATTCATCCCTCTATGAAAAGTGTTTCAATTGTGTAAGCATACCCTACTCACTTGCCATTTAATGCTGCTACTCCAACAGTGCTTCTGGCAATTGACATACTTGCCACAAATGTCCACTGCTGACTTTGAGGATCCCACCTCTCAACTGTGTTCAAATAACTCCAACCATCATGTCCTCCCACCGCATAAATAGGCCCTTCAAGCACTGTAACTCCTAAAAATGGAAGAGAGAGTGAGAGAACATAAAAGTATGCTTTCTGTATCAGTAGTAAAAATTAAAAAAGTTTTCCAAAACAAAACCAACAAATGAACTTGTATATTCAAAATAAAAATGGAAGCACCAACTTGAGATTTGATTAATTAAGGATTAACAAACAAGAATAAAATAATGCCACTCCAAACATTTCTATGAAAAACAGGTCTTGTTACACAAACTTAATTTCATTCCTTGAGAAGAGTGTTTGCTTCTTAGATTTCTGTAAACGGTTTGACTTAGTATCTTATAACATTCTGATTATGAATTAGCTCTTTAGAATAGCAGTAAAGCACAAAAAGTATGGACTGGATAGCTGATGGATCTCAAATTATTGTCAACCTAAGGGGTATTGGTGGGTTCCACAGGAAAGGGAAAGAAGTCTGATTTTTTTTTTTTAGCATTTTTGTCAATTATGTAAAAGAAAATACACAACTTTTCACTAGCAAAAAGCTTGATGGATCCGTACAGAATAAAAAAAATACATTTAAAGTCTTGAGCAAGTAACTTAGAGTGAGAAATTTAGCTGCTTCATCAGTTTTACCCTATCAAAAGAAGAAATAGCCAGATACCTTCACAGGAAAACAATGTTGTATATGTAAGGATTCTTTTATTTATTGAAGAAAAGTAAAACAAAATGTAAAGCATGAAAGTTTAAAAAGGAAATATTTAAATAAGAAACAGATTTTTAACTATGAGGGGTTTTAATAACCCAGTTAAAGGAATTGATCAATTCTCTCACTGTATCTTCAGTCAAGCTTAGAAGTTTCTGGAAGATAAGTTAGAGCTAAGTACCGTTTGTTACAAGAAAGTGAGCTCAGTAATTCCATTCTATGAATCCATCACCCCAAATGAGCATCATTCTGAAAAATCTCAGGCTAAGTACAATTCTATTCCTAAGTCAATATCTTTTTTTACCCCCCACTCCATTTCACATGATTTGAACTCATCAGAAAGTCAGAAAACAGTAGACCATTGAAGTTTCAGAGAACTGATTTATTTTTTTCTTGCAGAAAAGTCCATTTTTAGTTTAAAATAATGTAAAGTTTCCACTTTCTGTGTAAAAACATGTTGTTCTATTTCAGAAAAGTCACTCGTTAAAAGATTATTTGACTTTAAAATTATATTTATCAATGAGTTTGAATATGTTTCCTCTCAGTGTTCACAGAAAGTGTTCCTGCACTTTGGGTGTTGGTTTTGGTTTGTTGGTATTTTTTAACTTAGAAAGAAAATAACTAGAAAGCCCTACTAACCCTTACAAAACTTTTTCTGCTTATGAAGTCTGAGCCTCATCTTTTTCTGTAGAAACTCATTCTCATTCGGCCAACTCATTCTCCAATGTTTTTTTATTGTCTTGCTTATGAATGCTTTCTATTCAATTAGATCTTCTAGTTATAATTTTTCCAGAATATTAAAGAGGATATTAAATTGAATATAGATCTCAATGACTTATCTCAGAATGCAACCAGTAACAACATGTAGGAAGATGTGTCAGTGTTCACACAAAAATTAGGGCATAGTAGGCTGTACGACACAGCAGTTTGCGAGTGGGGCTTTTTGCCTATTCTAATATCTAATATTTTTAAATACTCTTAAATCCCAAACAAACTGATTTACATTGTCAAAAAAGTATTTGCTATGGTTTATTATAACAACACTGTACTATTTAGCTTTTCATCTATATGCTCTTAATTTAATGCAAAGTTAAATAGAAAATCAAATTCTTATTGGGATAAAAATGAGTCATATTCAAAGAAAGTTTAGGTGCCTGAATGTTTCTATACAGGTACTCACATACATAATTGCTGTCTAGATAAATGCACAAACCCTCTCTCACCTAAAAAAATAAGTAGAATTTTATTATTATGCAGTGATTTTCACAGGGAAACTATGATGCATGTCAAAACACATCTCGACATTTTGAAATTTCCAGCTTTCATTCCTCAAATAGCTTATTTGTACTTCAATTAAGATATAAAGAGTTGTTTTCAACTTATTCTTTTTATCTTATTCACAGTTTCATACTTTTTGTCAAGTACCTCATACTTGAGTTTAATTCTCATCTTTTTCTTGCTGTAAATTAAGGCATCACAATTATTTCAGTCACTGTCTGGAAGGAAATTTGCTTTCCCCATAATCAAAATACCATTCTTCCTGCCTTTTCATGGATTTTTATCACTCCCTTTTTTTTTTAATGACATGAAAATTGATAAGCTCATGGCATTAATATAATGTTATTTTCTCTCTCCATTTATTGTCATACTCTTTAACTGGGCTTTATACAGAAAATAGTCTACACTGGTTTCTCTGCTCTTCTAATGAGAACTTTTCTGAGTTTATATAATGCATGTAGAACCCTGTGAGATGCACATTTCCTTCTGATTTTTCCCCAATGATTTTGCATGTAGCAAATGGTGCTATGTTGTGAATTCAACTGGCTTAGTTTATTGGTGATCTCTGAACTTGTCAGATCTTACTGAATAACCTCTACACACTTTGTTATCATGATGTTCAATTCCATTTCCACACAAATTAATCTTACATTGACACAAAGAAATGCTGCAGTTAGAAAAGTGTCCAAAAGCTGGGAATATAGTCACAGATACACCAATAAGGAAACCTAGAAGCTTATTTTGCTTGGAGAATTTTAAGGTATTCAAGACAGCAATCCCTGTTTGAGCTTGCCTGTTTGCATTTCTTCTATAACAGGAAAACTTATTGGCAAAGGTATAGGAAAATAATTTTTTCCATACATGAAAAAGACAGAAAGTCTTCTGTACAAAACTAGTCTTCCATGCTGCTGACTACAGCGTTATATTAATGTGCTGTGAGGTCACACATTTAAAGTCTCTTCTTTACAGAATACCAAATGCACTGACATCCTTACACTTGCTCCTTAAGAGCTGGACCACTTCTGGCTCACTAAACTTTAAAATACTGGACAAATGCATTCTGCAATATTGAATTAATTTTGTTTTGGTATAGTTACGGCTGTATATGTAAGGGAAAATCATCATTTCAGATTATGTAAATTCAATAGTGCAAGTCCAGTTTTCTCACAAGTAAATAAAAGAAACACACAATGCTGCATTCCATGAAAGTAGTATTGCACCTATTTTAAGTTCTCTCTCTTTTTTTTTTTTTAATTTTGATATTTGTAGATATCTGAAAAGCATAAATACAAACTGGAACAGATTGAGAGACATGTAGACATAGCTGGTAGGGAGTTCCTCTTATGGTACATCCATGAGAACTAGTGGGTGTGGATGTAGTATGTGTAAAGAAGGTAAATAGTACAAAACAACTTCCGAGGGAATTGAAAAAGTACCACTAAAAATCAGGAAAATCTGCCAGAAATTCTGTAAGAAATGTAGAGTATACCAAGATAATTTTTTCCAAGTAGTAATCTAATCACGGTATATAAGTATCCACATAAAGAACAGATTGTATGATTAAGAGTCTAACTGTAAGAGGAATAACAAAAGCTAGTGACTGGAGTTGGTAACCTGTTAAATTAAGCATGGGAATTTTGTAGTTTAACCAATGATGGCAAGGATTTTTTTAAATTATGAATTTAGGAATATACTAGTTTCTGTGATGCCTGACAATTTCTATCAGCTCATTTTCCAGCCCGTTGTGTTCTATCTGATGGCAGCAGAACCATCAACCACTCCTCACTGTTTTTGCCATCAGCTAAATTGCTGAGCATGCACTATTTCCCATCATCCAGGTCACCACTGAAGATGATGAGCACACTGGGCATTGGGAAACATCACTAGTGGCTTTTATCTGGACTTTGTGCTGCTGATTACAGCTCTTTCACCTTGACTGTTCATCTAGTCAAGTTGGTCAGGAATTACTTTTCTTCTATAAATTTATATTCCCAGTCAACTTAATATGAACCAAAACTGTTCCAGTATTATTTACTCTATCACCTTCTCAGGGATCATGGTGAGGCTGACTGACTTGTAACTTTGCAGACTCTTTTTGCCCTTTTTGACAATAGGTGTAGCATTTGTTTTCTTCTAGTCTTAAGGAACCAGATCATCGGGACCTTTCAAAGATAATTGACACTGGCCTCACCATTACATCAGCAAGCTCTCTCCACACTTGTAGGTGCATGTTTTCAGGTTCCATGGTCAGCTTGCTTAAATATTCCTTAAATTTTTCCTCCCCCACTGAGGGTAAGTCATCCTTGTTCCAGATTTCCTTCTTTGGTTTCAGGGACCTAGGACTCTCAAAGTCAGTCTTAAAGACTGAGGCAAAGAAGGCATTGAGTACTTCATCCTTTTTTTGTGGTCTTTCTCACCAGGTCCCCTGCCCCAACCAGGAAAAAAAAGTTCACATTTTCCCTGAGTCTTCCTTTTGCTGTTTAAAGACCCGAGAAAGCCTTTCTTGTTGCCCTTCAAGTCACCCATCAGATTCAACTCAAAATGAGCTTTGCCTTTCCTAAGATGATCCCTCCAGCACCTCTGTATTTCTCCTGGGTCACTTGTGCATTTTCCACCACTTGCACGCTACTCTTTCAGTTTGACTTTAATCAGAAGCTCTCAATACATCCTCCTACTTTCTTGATTGATTTTCTGCACATCAAGATAGATTAAAGCAAGTGATCCTTGGAAAATCTGTCAGCTCTTCTGGGTCCCTCTTTTCTCCAGAGACATATTTCCCAGAGTGGCCATTGCAGAACCCAATATATTGCCCTCAGTAGTTTTGGCTCCATTTTGTGGCAACGGATGTACAAACTGTTGCATCTCTTGCCTGCTTCTATTACCTGTGCTCAAAGCCACCTACCTATGAAGCCCCACTGTCTAATTCTTATGCTTTCTAAGAAACCAAGTTTGAAAAGCTCTAAGCAATGAAGAAGTATTTTCTTTCACCATTAGGCAGTGCTTGCACCATATGTTTCAAAAAAATTTAATGAGTAGTAAAAATAATGTAATCAACTCCCCCAAGAAAAT